ATGCGCTGTGCGCCCCAGGGGCAGGCCTGCTCACCATGGGTGGAGGGGCGGACCCACTCCCCACGGGCAGGCCCGCGCATGCGCCGTGCCCCTGGGGGCGGCGCTGCACGCCCGTGCCCAGGGCGCCAAAATGCCTCGGGCCGGCCCTGGTACTGATCAATAGCTTGATGTATGGTTGGCAGTCAGTATTGAATGGAGTGCACCAAGGCTTGGTTCTGGGATCAGGTTTGTTCAACATCTTTATTAATGATCGGGCTGAGTGGATGGATTGCGCGCATGCGCCGTGCCCCTGGGGGCGGCGCTGCACGCCCGTGCCCAGGGCGCCAAAATGCCTCGGGCCGGCCCTGGTACTGATCAATAGCTTGATGTATGGTTGGCAGTCAGTATTGAATGGAGTGCACCAAGGCTTGGTTCTGGGATCAGGTTTGTTCAACATCTTTATTAATGATCGGGCTGAGTGGATGGATTGCACCCTCAGCAAGTTTTCAGATGACACTAAGGTGGGGGGAGAGGTAGATACGTTTGGAGGGTAGGGGTAGGGTCCAGAGTGACCTAGACAAGATTGGGCCAAAAGAAATCTGATGAGGTTCAACAAGGACAAGTGCAGAGTCCTGCCCTTGGGACGGAAGAATCCCAAGCATTGGTACAGGCTGGGGACAGACTGGCTAAGCAACAGCTCCGCAGAAAAGAACCTGGGGATTCCAGTGGATGAGAAACTGGAGATGAATCGATAGTATGTCCTTGTAGCCAAGAAGATGAAACACTAGAGGGTGGGGAAGCACTGGGATGGGTTCCATGGGGGAATCTCCATCCCTAGAGGTCTTTAAGTCCTGGCCTGACAAAGCCCTGGCTGGGATGAGTTAGTTGGGGTTGGTCTTTTCCATCCCTATGGTTCTGTGAGTCTGACAGCCTCAACTCCCTGAGCTTTAACCACTGCTGGACTGTGGCTGTGCTTGGGATTTTCGTTGCTGTGGGAGCTGGGCTGTATCTGCCTGCTGGGGCAGTAAACACTCTTTCATTCCACCACTCTGTGGCAGCGCAGAAGCATCCCGCTATTGCTGTAGATGTGGTTGTGCTGTGCGGCTAGTTGTCTCACAAAGAGATGATTAGTTCACTCAGTCTGTGGTTTTTCTGCTGAAATGTGCGCCGTCCCTGCTCTTGGAGCTCCCTTCAGCTCTGAACAGATGTATAGTTGGCATATGGTAACCATACATCTGGCAATGTCAGAACCTGTTTCTGCAGAAGCATCCCGCTATTGCTGTAGATGTGGTTGTGCTGTGCGGCTAGTTGTCTCACAAAGAGATGATTAGTTCACTCAGTCTGTGGTTTTTCTGCTGAAATGTGCGCCGTCCCTGCTCTTGGAGCTCCCTTCAGCTCTGAACAGATGTATAGTTGGCATATGGTAACCATACATCTGGCAATGTCAGAACCTGTTTCTTGCCTTTAGAACTCAGCTCTTCATGTCCATGCTGAGTGACAGGCTAATAAGCTTTCAGAACAACATGAATTTCCCTGTTCCTTGCAAAGATGTTATGACATTGGTGCTGAGATGTGCACAAAGATGAGAAACTAACCAATCTCTCTGCAGCTCTTGCAGAAAGTGTGCATGCTGCATTACTTACTTTGTGACTTGGAGTTTAGACAGTGTTGTAGCTGGACAGGCTGCCATCTGGTATGGTGGGCTGGCATCATCTGTTCTCACTGTGACATCAGCTGCCCCAGGAAGCAGAGCTGGGCTAAGCAGTCTCTCCTGAATATCACATTTCACACATGCTACAAAGAAATTTGGCAGAGATGACTGGAAATAGAATCAGTAATAACACTGTATTTTACATCCTCCTTGTGGTGTACAAACACTGAACAATATTAGTTGCTGGCAGGCATCTAACAGGAAACAACCAATCCAAAGTATGGTACACCAGGACAACAATGTCTAGCTAATGAACTTTCTCAGCTCCCTCACAAGCTGGGTAATACTAATTCTCCCCATTGAAACAGGGGAGGAACTAACACGTACTTAGGCTGCGTCTGTACTGGCATGTGCCTTTGCACAAAAGATTTGCTTTTGTGCAAAAGCATCCATGAAGGTGTAGATGCTCTCTTGCGCAAGAAAGCTCCGATGGCCATTTTAAACATCAGCTTTTCTTGCACAAGAAATTAATATGGCTGTCTATACTGGCCTCTTGCACAAGAATACTTGCACAAGAGGGCTTATCCCTGAGCGGGAGCTTCAGAGTATTTGCGCAAGAACCACTGATTTTATACATTACAAAGTCAGTGTTCTTGCGCAAATACTCACGGCCAGCGTAGACAGGCGGCAAGATTTTGCGCAAAAGCGGCCAGTCTAGACGCAGCCTTAGTGTTTAGGCATGTGCAGAAATGGTGCGGAGTCAGCTCAATAAAAGGCGCACAGTGTGCCAGCTGCAGAGCTCAACTTAGAAGCACCTTGTTCCAGGAACAGACCACTCTTCTCTAGACAGTTTCTCTCTCTTTGTAAATTGTCCACATAGGAGGAGGAAACAAAGAGCAAGACCGTGTCCTGTTTAGGATATTGATGAAATGGCTTTTGGAGATAGGGGCTAAAAAGAAAGGAAATCCTCTGAACAGCTGAAGGAAGGTGGAGCTGAGACAATACCCTAGCTCCATAGCGGGGTCTCAACCCATTCTTTCCCTTAGCACTTGTCTTGGTTGTTTCTCCTTTGGCTCTGAAGAACGATAGCCACGTAATCTGTGAGATCTCATCACAATGGTGACACTGGCACACATCCAAAGGGATCTTGCTTACGTAATGGCTGTAGGTAGCTTCTTTTCTCTTCTGGCCATGCAGCTAACCTCACTCTGGGCTTTGGCTCCCTTTCAAGGACTTCCTTGAAAAGCTACAGCTGGAATTCTTCCACTGATGTAGTGCTGTCTACACTGGAAATTAGTTTGGTTTAACTATGCTGCTCAGTGGCATGGATTTTTTTAATTCTCTCTCGGAGGGGTGAAAATGACCTAATTTTCTAGTACAGACCAGGCCTTTGCTCCAACAAGGCAGTGTATTAAGTGTGAGATTCAAAAGGAACAAATCCATTTTTTAACAAACAGAATGAGTGCCTGCCCCTGCCTATAAATGCAGCTTTTGAAGACAGAGGCCTCCTAAATGAAAGGGCAAACCCAGCTTCTGAACCACCCATGCTAAAGGAAACCTGTGAGAGCGCATGCCACCCGCTTGGCCTCTGCTTGGGAGCTGCCCATGCAGTGCCTGTAGAGGACAGATGTGTGCTGCTGTGATGGCAACAGCATGTGGTGAATTTAAAACTGGCGCCGGCTCACACAGGCAGTGATGGGTAGAGCTCAGACTCCCATGGCAATGCAGGTGTGACCCTATGGCTAGTAATTGCTGGGGGGGAGCACCTAGTTCTGCTGCAATTAGAAGGAATTCAGATTTCCAGTCTTCTAATGACCACACATTTAAAACTAGTCTCTTGAGGGTGGGTGCTGGCTAGTAATGGGAGTGCTGCCCATGGTGGGGTGGAGGGCACTGGGAGACCAAAGTGAAACCAGTAAGGAAAATTGTGTTCCCTATGGATTGTTCTGTTTACTCCCACAAATGTGTAGCTGTTGGTAGCTCCAAATTTCAGCCACCTGTCCATTATTTCCGTACTATAAGAACAAATCAAACCATTTTGTAAGAGGAAACCTCTGTAGGCGTTGCTCTGGCTCCCACTAAGCACAACAGATGAGCTCAGGGCGTTTTGTTTCTATCCCAGCCAAACTTAAATCACTTATAAACTCATGACAGTGAGAAAAATGAATGGTGAAGGGTTATTGGCTTTCCCCACACCACATGAACAGGTCACCTGACACAGTTTATGGGCAGCAGGTTTAACACAAACAAAAGGAAGTGTTTCTTCACTCCAAGCACGGTCAACCTGTAGGACTCATTGCCATGGGACACTGACAGCTGAAAGGTCAAAAAGAACGAGAGAAGTTCATGGAGGATGGGTCCTTCAGTGGCTGCTATCCAGGATGGGCTCAGGATGACCCCAAACCTCTGACTTCTAGGGTATGTCTACACAGCAACATTATTTTGGAATAACTAGTGGTCTGGTAGCACTGTATAGACTAACGAAACATGTAGATGGTACCATGAGCTTTCGTGGGCACAGCCCACTTCTTCAGATGTTATTCCAAAATAACATAGTGCATATCTATACCACAAGCCTTTATTTTGAAATAATATCAGGCTGGAGGACTTCTTACTCTGACTCGTGGTAACCCTCACTTCATGAGGAGCAAGGGAAATCAAAGGAAGAGTGTTCTTCCTTCGACTTCCTGCTGTGCAGACAGTGTCAAAGCCGAATTAAGCTATTTTGACTTCAGCTACGCAATTGATGTCCGCAATAGAAGCTGCATAGCTTAGTTGGTCTTTAGCCTTGCTGTGCAAACATACCCTCAGAAGCCAGGAGGAGGAGATGTGTGGAGTCCCTCCAAGTGCTGTGTTCTGTACACTTTGGTATTGCCCACTGTTGGCAGACCGGATACTGGACAAGATGGACTAACGGTCTGACCCAGTGTGGCTGTTCTCTGCTACACTAAGGCACCTTTATACTATCAAGAGGCACATTTTGGGCAGCCCAGGCAGGGCAAATGCATAGCCATAGTAATGCAAATCTACAGCGCCAGAACGTGAGACTCGGCCCTGAGACATTTCAGTCCCAATGGAGACATCTCATACGCACTTGAAAATGGGGCATTCTAAAGCACCTGCCCTTCTCAGCCTCAACTATGGATTTAGCCACAGCCAGACTGTCACCTTACTGAGAGGCAGTGACTGTACCCCAGGGGGGTGATTCTACCGCACGGCCTGTCTGCTTGGTGTGCCACCGAGAGTCCTGGGGAGAGAAGATGAAATACTTAGATTTGTCCTGGGGGCAGTGACGTGACGGAAGCCTCCCGAGGGAAGCAGGAGATGGAGCTGCTCTCTGTCTGTGCCACGATCCTGAAGCCAGGTTTTAAAGAAAGTCTCCATGCTGACAACATCATTCCCTATGGTTTGAAGGTCGATGTCCATCCCCAGGATCACACTGTCTGCAGAAGGAGAGAATCATGGAAATTTAAGGCTGGCTGGGACACCCGCTCCTCCCCCGTGCTGAGGCAGGACCAAGTAAACCTGCCCCCCGACTCTCCCAAGTGGGACGAGTCCTCTGAACACTGAGCCTATGAGTCATCTGTGTTGTGGTCCCTCTGAGCAGCTGCACCAGTGTCCCAATGGCTAAGTACTTTCCTCACTCCCAGTTTGTTTCAGTGCACTTCACAGCCACCTTCTTTAGCCTCCTGGTCCCCTGGGGAGGGACATTCTCCTCACTGTGCGGCAGGGCTTGCTAAGCAATGGGAGCACAGGGGGTCAATGAGGAGCAATGTGGCCAGGGCTGGCCCACAACATTTTGGCACCTGAGGTGGGGAGCTCAAATGACGCCCCCATTCCTGTCGCTTGGGCCAAAACTTTGCAAGATCTCAATTCTGCCTTCCTCCTATTCTACGCCCCTCATGGTACTGCAGAGAGACTCCATCTGCACCAGCAGCAGACACAATTTTCTACACTCCGGGTCCTAGTGGTGCCCCCCCACAGTCTGGCACCTGAGGTGGCCGCCTCAATTCGCCCCATGGTAAGGCCAGCCCTGAATGTGGCCCACTTACTTTAGTTTGCGGGTCTGCACACCGAGTGATGGAGATCATTTACTGTCAGTTTTAAGCCAGGGTATCTTAGCATATTTTGGCCATATGAGCATCCGCACTGGCTCCTCTCACCCCTCTTTTCCTTACTAACCAGCAGAGGCTCCTGCTCAGAAGGGCCACCCTGGCCAGCACCATTTCACCCCACCGGAAGTGGGAGCACGCTTCGCTTAGCTAGATGGAAAATCTCTAGAGGAACTGCAGCAGCAGTCCATATGGCACAGCTGGAGACAGACTTGCTCCCAGGGGGCAGCAACTGTGCTGCAGTGGAGTATAGCCCTTCCTTCAGCTAAGGAGCAAAGCAGCCCCTTCCTGGTCAATGTTCTTTAGCAGTGCCAACAAGTCTGCAGGTGCGGCACAGCAGGCGGGTCTCTGCTCTGAAGTGCTCACAGCGCAGAGGTGCAATTGAAGGATAAGGGAGCTGCGTCACAAGCATGCCCAGCAGCCCATCTCCCGCTTTAGGAACCCTGCCTGGAAGGTTGGAGGGTCGAGGGTGCTAATGCTCCTCTCACAATCCACTGAGATGCTGGGGAATGCACCCTCCCCTCCCCGAAGGGGCCCCAGACACCTGGCCCCAGTGAGCGCTTCCTCTTGCCTCTGAAGGCTGCTGAAAATATTGTGCGGGTGAACACGCCTGAACTGTGCCTTTAGGAGTAAAACGCTAGTGATTGTGTGAGTTCCTCTCTGCAAAATACCCGGCACATGGTGCTCCAGGCAATCAGCCCCTCCCCAGGAAGCATGGCACTGGCGAATACTGCAGCTTCTCTCCAAGGATGCTGAGCACACAGGTTAATGGCAACATGGGCTCCTCCTTGATGGACATTGGTGCCACTGAGGGTGAGAGCTCCTTCCCGAGGAATGTGCCAGGTGTAAGAACATAAGACCAGTCAGACCAAAGGTCCATCTAGCCCAGTAGCCTGTCTGCCGACAGTGGCCAG